TCTTTTATAGCTCTCTAGTCCGACGATGGCAACACTTACTTGAATCATCTGTTCCTGATATCGAAACATATGATTTTGTTTTTCATCTAGGCAATAGGATCCTGATCATATGGTGATATTACTCTCTGATTCCAATCACAGATTAACATACAAAATACAAATGATACAATACGTAGAATGCATACAATAAAGTCAGATCACACTAGCGCTCCATAGTGGCCAAGACGGCTAGCAGCACCAAGTAACGAAGCACGATTTAACTATCAGTCAACTGAAGTAAGATCTCTCGTAAGATGGAGTAAGATTTTTTTAATCATATCTCTATTATCTTGTAGTCTTGTACTCTTGTCTTACTATGCCTCTATTCTATTGCACATATTACATAGAACATAKWTAAAATCACGATTAATGATAGAACTATCTTTATATAGTCGTGGACAAAATCATAATGATTTGATCCAGATGATAAGATTATGGTTGATATTGCAAAATAAAAGATATTATTAGACTTCACACTGTAAAAATATTTTATTTTATATTGTATAAATTCATCACACATGACGTACATAATACATACAAATTTTATTTAAATGTATTATTATAGTATGCAATTTTTGTTGTTAGTTTTTATATAATAAAAAAAAAAATGTATAATTTGGTTATAAACTCCTCCTGAAATTAAGTTCCAGCCTTGAATACAATTATATCATTATGTTTACATTTTCTGCGAAGTCAACTAAATATTGACTAAGGCTAATACTCTTACTATAGGTAGTCTCATTTTGAAATTTATAATATATACATAGATTGTAGTTACTAGTTATTGTAAATAATTGATAATTCAGTACTGTTACTGCGCAACAATAATATAGTAAGATCAGCTGGTCGCACACACACACACATAATTACTGTTTTATTTTGTATGTTTTTATTTATGTCCCGTGTGAATTATATAATATGTAGATAATCGCCAATATCACATGCCGCCGCCGTGACATTTTATCTCGTATAAAACGTTGAATTGCGGAAAAAATATCCCCGAGGAAAAAAAATCCCCATACTGCAATATTACTCACAACCTCATGAACATATATTTTTAAACGTTAATTAACACCTTACAGTAAAAACATAGCATATAAAAATATTTCGAATAAACCAAAACGTTGCCGCGTCAACACCGGTCAGTGCCGAAATATCATATTATATATTCTTTTTCCACAATAGTCATAAATATTGTTTTTTCTTTATTACTATGGCGTAGTGTCATAAATTGGTGCCGAAGTGTTTAAAATATTATCTCATCGTAATTCAAGGCGCCCCCATCACCTCCCTATTTTTATAATTCAACCATCAGATGTAAATCAAAGCATCTACAAATAAGTAATGTAACGTTTAAACGTATATATTCTGGATGGTAGACTACCAAAAAGTCCGAGGTAAAAAAGTCCGAGTAAAAAAGTCCGTGTTTAAAAGTCCGATATAGGTACGTCATATAATTAGGTAAAAGGAAAAAATTAATACTTAATTTAATTAAGAAATAATTTTAATATATAATTATATTTTATTTGTATGATTAATTATTTTGATTTTTTTATATTTATTTATATTTTATAATTATTATCATTGATTTTTTTTGATAATATAATATTATACCGGACTTTTTTTCCTAGGACTTTTTTCCGCGATTCGTTCTGGATACGGTACACGRCACTATCTTCTGGTGGGGCCTCCTCTAAAAAAATCTATTATATCGTATGTCATATACTCATACATAAATTAGGGGATCGGCGCTACTCGTATAGCTGAATAATGGTGTTATCTGGGGGAGCAGGCGGAGCAGCAGACAAATGAAAAACTTGAAACAGCGAAATGCTTTTGTCACAGTCAATCAGTCAAAGATAATAGAAATAAAAGAATGAAGAATCTAATCTTCTATTATTTATGATCACAATAAATTTGATGGGTAGTGGGTGGATGTGCAATTTATCTCGAAATCGGTATATTGTTGATTTTTAATATTTAATATATATGTTTTTAAATTTAAATTATATTATTATTCAAACTTAGTCATGGCTCATGCCAGATGACAAAGTATATAGGTATGTCAGCAATATTGTGATACGCACATAGACCTTAAGGTCTATGGATACGCATAATATTCTCCACTTTTTTCTGTTACGTTCTCCGCCTCTCGTTGGTCGCATATATTAAAGCATGAAAATTCGAGAATCTAACACGCGGGAAACAGTGGGGACTGGAGATGCGCAAACAAGATTCAAATACGCATTGTTGCTGACTTACCTTAATGTTTTGTCATGATCTTTGGCCTTAGCACAGAACAATAGCCTTAGCTTAGTGTCTTGTCCACCAGGGCACCAGCAAATCATAGAGAGATAAAGATATACCGTGCACGTGTGTGGTACTGTGGTGTCGTGTCTATCACTATTCACTTTATCGTCTACAAGATAATTTTTGTTTTTACTTTTTTATTTTTATGTACCTGCCTTTGTCATTATTCGGTCACTCGACACATTCGTTCATTTTGTTTCATTCAGTCGCGACCATCGCAACTCTACATCATGTCTATGTCTACTCACAACAGGCCTCTGAGAAAAATCCAGTCTACTAGGTTGGCGTCAGACAATCGGGAGGTGCGCAAAGTGCCCGTACCTTCACATAGGCTGACGCCACTCAAAGAACACTGGTTAAAGATCTACACACCCGTCGTCGATCATCTCCGTTTAGATATAAGATTCAACGTAAAATCAAGAAATGTTGAAATCAGAAATCCCGTTCCTGACGATGAGGTCGGCTCGCAACACTTACAGAAGGCCGCAGACTTTGTCAAGGCGTTTGTCTATGGTTTCGAAGTGGAAGACGCACTAGCATTAATAAGACTGGACAATTTGTTTGTTGAATCTTTTGAAGTATGTACCAGTTGTACTTATACATTATACTAATACATTATACACTACTATAACATTAGTCATAGTCCAATTTGGATGCTAATACTTTTGTTAAAATTTTTTAACAACCAGCTACAAGTATTTTAAAGTTAGGTATTTTATTTTGTCATGGCTGTCTTATCTGTTTCAGCTTAAAGATTCAAAACAGCAAAATACAATGTTTTTAACAACGCTACACTGGGCGATATAGCAATCAGTTGTTTTTTTTTAAATGTTAAACAATATATATTTATAATTGACTATTCACATCCTGTCTAATTACAACTGCCAATTTTCAATAAGATATTTTTTTAATTTCATACAAAATATAATTGTCAATACACGTAGGTACTGAAAATACAAGAAAATAGTAAAGATATAATGCGCTATATTTATAAAATTGCATTAAAATTAAAGCTTAATATGAAATAAAGTTACACTGTTGGTAGCAACAACTTTTTTTTGGAAAGTAGTAGGAGTAGTTACAAACAAATAGAAGCATGCCACCACTAAATAAAAAATTTGATATTAATTTAACTACTTCTATATTTTATAATAAATAATGACGTAAAATAAAAATTATAATATTGATTAATTATTTTTTAGGTGAAGGATGTAAAAACTTTAAAAGGAGACCATTTGTCCCGTGCAATTGGACGATTGGCTGGAAAAGGTGGACGAACAAAATTTACCATTGAAAATGTAACAAAAACCAGAATAGTATTGGCAGACACAAAAATTCATATATTAGGATCATTTCAAAATATACAAGTAGCTATGAGAGCTATTTGTAATCTTATTCTCGGATCACCACCTTCTAAAGTTTATGGGCAGTTACAACAACTCTCTAAGAGTAAAGTTCTATAAAGTTGTATATGTTAATATTAAAATTAAAAACATTTTTTTTATATATTAATAGATAATTACAATCTATGTAAGTTTGTGTATAATAAATAAATGTTGGTAACAAATATTTTACATTAGCAAATTGGGAAAGAGAGGTGTTCACCCATAAGTGTTATCTGACATGTTAATTGGGCAAGTGCTAGTCTTGCTGCAAGACTGAAATAACTCCCTAAGTCATCATACTTTGAATTGCTTGTTAGAATTTATTGTATATTGTGATTGTACTGTTGTTACATTTGGGAGAATATGTATTCCGGCGTCCGTATAATAATAATTAGGTATTGTTAATTTTTAGACCGCCGGCTGCCGCGCCATATCATTCGTAGGAGGCCATACAGCCGCGGGCTGCTTTAAATTAATTTGGATTTATATTATTAACTTTTCCGTGGCGCTACAATAATGATCTTGAAATATGCTGTGGCGTAGTGGGAATAATTGCAATTTTTTTAATGCAATAAACATAATTTTAACATTTTTTTTTTTCAAATTCAATAGTATATATATACAAATACAAATTTATAATGACACTGAAAAATGTCTTTGGCGTACCCATAATAAATATTCTTGAGGCCGCAGGCGGCTTTATGGCAGTCGACGTGTTAAAAATACAAAAAAGTCATTTCTCATTTAAAATAATATATACAGATAAGGGATTACAAATTTATGTTTAGTTTCCTCCAAACAATTTAAATTCTTATAATATTGGTGTCTTATCAACATATCTATTAGAAGAGACATTTGTAAGCTGCTATATTCTGTTCCAAAAAAGATGAACTGCATTTGTGCATGATAGGTTGTGATTAACGAGCCGCACATCTATTAAGATGTGGTTGGTAGGAAACTACTAGACTATAAACAAAATGCAATTAAGTAATTTCGCACAAATCATATCTTATTGGGAACAGAGTATAGTGTAACAATAACAATTAATAGAAAGTCTGGAAATTACAAGAGCTAAAATATTAACATTAAAGTTGTGCGGTGACAATGTAAATATTCAACTATTAAATAAAATGTATTGGTGTCAAGTATATTTGTGAATGTAATATTTATAAAAACCAAGATAGCATAAAATGTTTAAGTTTTCATGATCAGTTATCAGATTATCTGATGACTATATGACTGACATATTAATATATCTATGCCACATAATGATGGTCACTTATTTATCACTTCCTTAAACTTATAATTGTATATTTTTTTGATTGTTGCAAGTCTAACAGATCATAAAAAATTAATATTAAAACAAAATTATTCATAAAAGAGAAGGGTATAATGAACTTTGTACAATACTTACACACACACTTCTACATAGATACAATATTTATTTTATACATCTTATGTTATGAACTTAATATTATTAAATATTAAAAATATTAGGTAGGTCGTAGATAAATCTAAAATTAACTCATAGTCGCGTTAGTAAATTTTTTTTTACAACACTGATCTGATAAAAACAATTTAATATTAATTTATTATTTATACAATTTGTATCTCTATGGACAAAAAGAAATCAACAAAATTATTTGATTTTGTGGTTCTAAAGTAAATATAGTTGGTACTTTGGGTGAACAAAAGTAAAATATTCCCAGTAGGTTTAAAAAATGGAAATTTTTAAGCTAAACCAATTTTGGAGAAACTTACATTTTTTTTATGTAATAACAAAGATAAACTACTGTAGATGTTTAAAATTTTCATAAAATAATTATATAATCATATTCAATTAAATTTAAAATTTCAAAGACTGATCTGTAGCCTTGAAACTTAATTTTTTTTATAAATTTTAAAACAATTCACTTGGTCAAAACGTCTAAAATGAAATACAAGATTCCTCATGACATTTGCGTATACCAATTGAAAAATATCAATCATACAGTCATATTACTTTTATCAAGCATTTATTGTCAGTAATTTATTACTGAAAGTATTTAAAAATGTATTATCAATACTTAAAAAAGTATTTAATACTTTTACTCAAATACTTTACAGGACTGCTTATATCTAATATATAGGTAGCATTTAAGAAATAATAAATAAGTAGAACCTATTACCTATAATTTATAAAGTACCTATTACCTATGTAGTAATAAGTTTTGATAATTTTTTTTTTTGTAACTTCTCATCTTTTTTAATTGTTTGTTTTGTGACAAAGTAAACTGTTTCATTCTCATAGTGATGTAGTATTAAAAAATATTAGTCATTATTTCTGTTTCAAACAGACACAATTATTATGAATTATAATTATACTATGTTAAGTAGGTATAAAATGTATAATAATATATTATAGGTAATATTGTATAATTATATATTTTCAAAGCATGAAAAAGGCGGGAAATTAAGTTCCAGTTAATGTTGATAGCATACGGATTTATTAATTTCTTGTATTGGATACCTAGATAGCGCTAGTGTTGACAAGAACTCGAAGCCCCCGTACCCTGCTCATTGTATACATTAAGGTGGATTTACCTCTCCCACCCCCCCAACCTGTTTGTTTCCAGTCCTGTATATCTTATTTCGTGATTATTATTATCCAAATATCTAATTATCGATAACCCTTTTGACATTTTATTTAATTTATATATTGTTTGCCGCCTATATTGAGATACTGGTGGTATAATAGAAAGTAAAATAACTTCTTATTACTGTAAGTTCCCTATATAGAMCTTTTCATACTTTCATTCTATTATTTGAGTGTTTAATAATAATAATTTGATATCAATAATTTCTTTTTTTTAATAATCATTAA